GGGGGGGGGGGGGGGGTCCTGGATATAAGCCTGGACCCTTCCCACGTGGGTCAGCCTCAGATCACTGTCTGGTCCCAAGGCCGCTTTTCTGATCCCACTTTGAGATCGCCAGCTTCCCTCCAGCCATGCAGCATCATTCCTGACTGTCTAGAGGGGGCGAGGCCAGGAAGGGTGGGCAGAGGGCAGAGCTGTGGCGAGGCTATGGTCAGTAGGAGGCAAGCATTTCCAGACCAATTACGAACTGTTCCATGGCTAAGGGCAGACCCAGGGTAAAGAGCTTAGATGGGCAGGGGTCTGCTCTGACCCGGGGTTTGAGGGATTCCCAGGAGCACAGGGAGAGAGTGGGCCGTCAGACAGGCCGAAAGGCCACGTTTGAGGTTCCGGCCTTTTACCCTGTGTGTGTGAACGGGCAAGCAGAGGGAGCCCATGCGAGCTGGCACTGGGGGCAGAGGAGAGCCAACCGAGACAGATGGTGAAGAACAAGGACAACACCTGGATTTTTGGCTCATGCTGGGGGGAGGAGGTGCTGGGGACATGGCCGGAAAGGTGAGGCCCCTGAGCTGGCTTTTCAGGAGAGATAGGCTGAGTGTGGACATGAAGGGCCAAAGCTGAGAGGCCTTGGGAAGAACTGAACTCCCCACAAGGTCTGAGGTGGAGGAAAGTGGGCACGTGGCAAGCCCTGGGGGACAGGAGGAGCCGGCCTGAGAGCACAGGCCACAGGCCCAGGCCACAGCTAGAGGATGCTTCTGAGAGGGCAAGGAGGACAAAATCCAAATGCCAGCTGGGGTCAGCCACTGGGCTGCCCGAACCTCGTCTGGGGCAGGCCAAAGCCAGAACGGACACTGGTGGGCCGTGTGTGGAGGTGAGGGAATCGGAGGCAGCAGACACCCAGGGCTTCCTGGAATGGGTCAAGGGGCTCGAACCAAAGGTGGTCCTAGACAATGGTAGGGCCCGGGGGAGACTCCTGAGCATGCTCTCCTGGGGAAGGAGAAGCATGATGGGGCGGGTTCCAGAGAACACCTGATGGGATCCCAGGATCGGATGGGACGGGGTCCACAGAAAACCAGGCAGGATCTCAGGATCGGGTCCAGGCTTCTGGCCTGAGGGAAGGGAAGGCCCCTTCTGTGAGAGCAAAAGGGAAATGGACGATGCAGAGGCAGGAAGCTATTTTTTGTTTTTGCAATTGCCAGAGGTCACGAGAGTGAGTAAGAGGCTGAGAGAGAGAGGGAGGGAGGGAGAGAGACAGGGAGACAGAGAGAGAGGGAGAGAGACGGGGAGACAGGGAGAGAGGGAGAAAGAGAGGGGGACAGGGAGACAGGGAGAGAGGGAGAGAGAATGGCCCAGTGGGCGGTGGTCACACCAAGATCCCTTTCCCTCCATCGTTTCTCTCCATTGGGATTTTGACACACACACACAGCCAGAGCGTGCTTAAACCACCAGGGCAGGACTCACACCTTGGTCGGCCGCTGGGGATCAGGCCCGGGGCTTAACGGCTGCCCTACAGGGCTGGCCCAAAGTTCTGATAGAATGGGGTGTTTCTGACAGCACCTTTAAAAGGCAATTTCCCTCCTTTTCAACATTTATCCATTGATTTCTTCCAAGGGTGAGAGAGGTAGGCTCCCTTACCGGGATCTTGGTGGTGTGGTCCACCCCCAGTCAGCCAGTATCATGGGCACGTGTGTGCCTGTGTGGGCACGCGTGTACCTGGTGTGTACATGGAGACCTTGGGATCTGAACCCAGGACCTTCCTTTATTGCCACAGCTGACCAAAGTGGCAAATCTTAGGAATTACATCTTCATATCATTCTCCCAATGAGTGGATGCATAGTCACTATTCAAGAACTACACGAGGGCCACTCACGTGCCAGGCACCGCGGTGGAGCTGTGGGCAAGGCGGACCTGGGCCCCTGTCCTCCGGGGAGCCCAGGAGGACATCTCAGGGAACTTTCAGACATTATTCATTTTTGAAATACATCTTTAGAAAATAAAAACTTTTAATAATCAAGAACCTAGACTTTGAACTGCTGTGACAGAGAGCTGGGTCAGACCCACTCACTTAGAAGCTTTCCTACTTTTTAATAATTTTGCTGGAGGGGCATGTACTCATCAGAGACAGGGAGAGACAAGGAGAGGAAGAACGTACCCCTGCCCCATGGGGGCGCGGTCACACCTCAATTCCCTTCTCCTGCATTTCTCCATCCTGTAGAGATTTTGGACAAGCACGCACACACCCCCACTGTACCGTTCAAGCCATCAGGGACTGGATTTGAAGCGCTTAGTAGGTCATGTGGTCCCCGTGCATCACCGAATTGTAACTGTCAAATTACGTCATTAGCCCTAATACTTAAGTGTAAACAAAGAACGGAGACAGAGAGAGAGGGAGAGAGACGGGGAGACAGGGAGAGAGGGAGAAAGAGAGGGGGACAGGGAGACAGGGAGAGAGGGAGAGAGAATGGCCCAGTGGGCGGTGGTCACACCAAGATCCCTTTCCCTCCATCGTTTCTCTCCATTGGGATTTTGACACACACACACAGCCAGAGCGTGCTTAAACCACCAGGGCAGGACTCACACCTTGGTCGGCCGCTGGGGATCAGGCCCGGGGCTTAACGGCTGCCCTACAGGGCTGGCCCAAAGTTCTGATAGAATGGGGTGTTTCTGACAGCACCTTTAAAAGGCAATTTCCCTCCTTTTCAACATTTATCCATTGATTTCTTCCAAGGGTGAGAGAGGTAGGCTCCCTTACCGGGATCTTGGTGGTGTGGTCCACCCCCAGTCAGCCAGTATCATGGGCACGTGTGTGCCTGTGTGGGCACGCGTGTACCTGGTGTGTACATGGAGACCTTGGGATCTGAACCCAGGACCTTCCTTTATTGCCACAGCTGACCAAAGTGGCAAATCTTAGGAATTACATCTTCATATCATTCTCCCAATGAGTGGATGCATAGTCACTATTCAAGAACTACACGAGGGCCACTCACGTGCCAGGCACCGCGGTGGAGCTGTGGGCAAGGCGGACCTGGGCCCCTGTCCTCCGGGGAGCCCAGGAGGACATCTCAGGGAACTTTCAGACATTATTCATTTTTGAAATACATCTTTAGAAAATAAAAACTTTTAATAATCAAGAACCTAGACTTTGAACTGCTGTGACAGAGAGCTGGGTCAGACCCACTCACTTAGAAGCTTTCCTACTTTTTAATAATTTTGCTGGAGGGGCATGTACTCATCAGAGACAGGGAGAGACAAGGAGAGGAAGAACGTACCCCTGCCCCATGGGGGCGCGGTCACACCTCAATTCCCTTCTCCTGCATTTCTCCATCCTGTAGAGATTTTGGACAAGCACGCACACACCCCCACTGTACCGTTCAAGCCATCAGGGACTGGATTTGAAGCGCTTAGTAGGTCATGTGGTCCCCGTGCATCACCGAATTGTAACTGTCAAATTACGTCATTAGCCCTAATACTTAAGTGTAAACAAAGAACAAACACATGACAGGTGCCATCCTTAAAATACGTACACCAGAGACCACCGTCCTTAAAACACATATACTGGGGACCAGCAGGTGGCATGGTGGTAGGGGTGCTGGACCCCCACATGGCCAGCTATGGTTCAAGTCCCAGATCTGGCGGCTTGCTTTCCCATGTGGAACTCAGCTCCCTGAACCACCAGGCCTTGGGGTCGGTCCCGGCTTTGCTCTCTAACGAGGACGACACTCACGGGCTCCTGGGACTTGCGTGTGGCGCGGAGGAAGCTCATGTCCTTGGGCTGCAGCGTGCGTGGAGCCACCTGCTCTGGTCACCGGCTTCACAGGAGAGTCCTCCAAGTGCGGGAGCCAACAAAGACATGCCCGTGTGAGTGACAGCACAGCTCAAAGCCACCGTGAAGAAACTAACCTGCGATCCTCCCGTTAGTACACGAGAACACAGGACCCCCTCCCCCCGGCCTCTCCTCTGCACATCTGCTCTATCGGGCTCCTAGAAGGCAGACCCAGATACCGTGGCAGACGAGCATACTGCACCGGCACCTTGTGCTCACGTGACAGCATGCAGGCTGTGGCACCTTTGGGCCCGTGAGGCTGGGGAGCTGGGGTTCTGCAGAGGCGTAGAAACGCAGCAGGAAAGATGTGCGCTCTGCACGCTCCCCTCCCTCGCCGCTCATCTCCCCCCTTTCAGAAAGGGAAAGACCATTTTCCTCTCTAGCAGGAACTGGACTTTGTTTTTTTCTGTGAGGCGCCAACACAGCGAGCTCCCAGCCGGGCAGAGCGGCTGGAGGAGAGCCGTCAGAGCCTCTCGGCCTAAGACCGAGGAAACAGAGAGACAAGAGGGCTAACCACTACACCACTCCGCCCTGCACCTGACAGGCGACAGGGGAACACGCCCTGAAATCCATACACAGACAATGAGGGGTCGAGGTGGGAAACAAAGTGCCCCCCCAAGCGCCCCCATGGCTCCCGGTGCAGCTGGAGCCAGGTTCGGGCCATCTCTGCTCGCGTCAGGGTTCCCCACGGCAAGGCCCCGGCAAGAGAAGTTCCAGTAAATACCTGGATCCGCCCTCTGAGTCTCTTCTTTACTAGTCTTCCCCCCCATATTCTCAGTCCTTAAGGGAAGAAAGAAAAATACCAGGTAAGTCATCCTGACAGCCACCGAAGTTCCACCCAGGGTGCTCCACAGGGAACCAAAGCGACAGCCAAGGAAAGGGCATGATAGTAAAACCATGCCTGGTTCCTGACAGTCCTGACAGTGCTCATCTCTGCGAAGGTGGGTTTTTTATTAAAAAAAAAAAAAAAATCAAGATTAGACAAATTTGTCTTTAATGGAAACCGCTTCTCCCCAACAAGCAGCAAGTTGTCAAATTACATCATTAGCCCAGAAACGTAAGTGTAAAGGAAGAACATACACATGCCAGGTGCCGTCCTTAAAATACATACACTGGAACCAGCAGGTGGTGTGGTGGTTGGGGGACTGGACTCCCACATGGCCAACTGCAGTTCGAGTCCCAGACCTGGTAGCTTGCTTTCCCACTGTCCCTCTTTCTCTCTCTCTGGTGGGTGCATGTGCCCTATATCAAACTAAATAGTAATAATAACAATAAGTAAAATTGACTAAGTAATTCTTTAAAACACGTACACTGAGAACGAGCGATATGCTAGAGTGAGCACTTTTCTCTTCGGGTACTTTAATTGCCAGAGAGCACATAGGCTTGCCGAGACAGAGAGGGGAAAGCACCCCAACGGTGCAGGCTCTCCCACAATCTCTTCTCCATTTCTCCATCCTGTCATGCTTTAGGCAGATACACACGTGTGCCCAGCATGTTTCTCAAGCTGCCAAGGCTGAGATTCGAACTGTGGTTGGCCTTGTGAGATCTGGCTCCCTTAACCACTAGGCTATGGGACCAGTCCACCTGAGTGCCCTTTTCAAGGGCAATCTCTACATCCCACCTACGGAGCAAATGCACTGAGCAAGCCCAAGCAGAGGTCAGCCCTGAGTCCTGGGGTTCAAGCTGCTGACTGGCTGGCAGACCACGGCAATATACCCAACCTCCCGCTAAACCTCCCGGGGAAATCCAAGAAGGGGTTGTCCCAAGTCTTGGGGTGGCTAGTGCCTAAGCCCTCTCCAAGTGTACACCTCCCTCATTTAGGGACTTACCCTGTCCACTGTGGATGGACAGAGCCAGGGCCCACATGGGGGAGCCAGGATGTGCCCGCAGGCAGTGCTAACTATACCACGGGGCCGTTCCAGAACTGAGAGGTGCTTGAGGACGGGGCCTGCAGTAAGATCGAGGCTCTGCCACTTTGGCTAGGTGACACAGGGCAAGCGACTCAATCTCCCTGTGCTGTAGCCACCATGGCACGGAGAGGACCCTGAGAATGGGCCTTCCTTGCACGGTTGTTGAGGGTCAAAAATCAGAAATCTCAGGAGGGCAGGGCCCAGGGTGAGCGGTCAATGCACGCCAACAGCTGTGCTCCTCATAACTAATACGGCAGTGTTCGTTTTTCTCCATTCCCTACAGCTCAAATCCAGATGCACACAAAGAGGGACAGCTTTAAGAAAAGCCATGCTGGGGCCAGCCGGTGGCATGGTGGTTAAGGCACTGGACACTCCCACATGGCTAATCACAGTTCGAGTCCTGGACCTGGTGGCTTGCTTTCTCACTCTCTGGTCAAATTAAAATAAATGAATGAATAAATAAAAAAATATTTACAAAAAAAAGGAAAAGAAGAAAAGAAAAGCCACGTTGCTGACTGTCTCTCCAGGTAAGCAACAGGGCAGGAGACTCGGCCATCAACGCCAGGTACAAGCTTAGCAACGCAGGTCTGCCTGGGCGCCCCAGCAGTGCTCTCACTGAACGGAAGGGGCAGGTCTTGCAAACCTTTTGCGCCTGTCTGTGTAGTGCAAGGCAGAGTGTGAGCTGAGCTCGTCTTCCTTAGTAAGTGGTAATGAGCTGGTGTGAGGCTGTACGGGAGGACTCACCCTCCTTCAGTGGAAACTTCCTCCAGCTCTCTACCACAGGGAACCCAAGAGATACAATCAGTATAGAGCACTTCAAGTAGGACGGTTCCTTTTATTTTTCTTTTGGTTTCTTTTCTCTATCATGTGCTCAGAACCCCGGGCTCAGCAGCTATTACTCCAAGTTATGGGTGTCTGCTCCTGCTGGTACTGTCTGCTCAGCCTCATGTAGACCCTACAAACTGCTACAGCACCCCACACCCAGGATGACTGTCATCATCCTTCCCATTTCTCAGATGAAGAAACTGAGCCTAGATAAGCAGTGGCTCCAGGCAGAGGCATTTTTTAATCCAGATGCACCCGTGTGTTTCCAGAAATTCTACTCTAGTAATTCTGTTGCATTAAGAGACTTAAGTAATGTTTTGGTTCCTATAAGGCGAACAAGAGCACAAGAGCTCAGGGTCAGCATCTCAAATCCTAGAAGACACTACACCATTCACGCTAGTAACCATAAATACTGAGACCGGTGACTCCTACCCTGGGGCGTCTCGTAGGTCAGCGTGGACATCTGCACCAGCGGGGTGTCCTCGAAAGGCTGGTTGTACTGTGGGGAGGAAGGGGAGTCCTGTTAGGTCTGTTAGGGGACACAAGGAGCCCCTGATCCAACGTCTCCCTGAGAGGCTGTCAGCCCCCAGCCCCGCCCCTCTCCTCCCCCTTCCTACCCGATCCCCGAACTCCCTCCGATCCCATCCCCGCCCCAGCTCGGCCCGCACCCGAGCCCCGGGGCGCCCCTTCCAACCGGCCGGTGGGGACGCACCTTCTCTATCAGTTTCTGCATTTGCCTCTGGAAGCGGCG